AAAAAGTTAAAAAAAAAAAAATAAAATAAAATCATGAGGGCCACTGAGGGTATAGCTTAGTGGTAGAGCACTTGCCTAGTATGCACAAGGCCCTGGGACCCATCACTATCATTAACACCCTCCAAAAAAGGTAAAAACACTTTTTCGTCCCTTAACCTCATGGACAAAGCCCACTCCTCCTTCACACCAAGGATCCTCTTCAGTTTGGGGAGAAGCCCAGGAAAACTGAAAAATGCTTCAGCTCCGCCTATAATGGCTCTCAACTCCCACTGCATTACTCTGCTTTTTTTTTTTTTTTTTTTTTATCTTTTTTGCCACTGTTCCCTCAGAAATGTTTCTAGAAGTTTTTCCAATCACCCTCACAAGAAATTGTAATAGCACACAGAAACAAACCACTGTGATCACTTGATATTCTTCTGCCTCCTCCCAAGAACTGATTTTCACTATCCCGGAGGACATCACCCTCACCCAGGACACGTGTTCTGATGTACAGAAAGAAACTTGCAAAAAACTGGTTAGTCCTAGGGAGGAGGTCACACAGAAGGAGAAGAACACAGGTGCTCTAAGGTCCCTGTAGACCTCTGTATTGCTTGCATACCCTTGAGAGTGGATCACCCATACATGACCGGTACAAACAAAAACTGCAAACAAACCACAGAGTGGGTGAACAGATACACAGATGGGTCACATCCTGGACTACTACTGGATAATGGAAGCGACACACTACTGTCACTCCTCAGCATGCGTAACGCTGTAACACCCTGTGCTCAGACAAAGATGCTAAACAGCTACAGTGCCAAGGGCAGGCAGAGGGGGCACTGACCAGGGAGAGGGCAATCTGGGGAATAAGGGGCTGTTTTTAGCCTGATGGTGGTAAAATTACACAGCATTTGTCAAAATTCTCATTCGATAGCAAAGAAACTCTATGATATATTTGTAATTTTTTACAATCTAAGTAAGATGACAAAGTGAAACTATGCAAAAATTTTCCCTTCCACTGGCATACACGACTTTAAGTTTTATTTTTACAATGTAACACAATAAAAATCGACACAGTGTCCACTGATCAGAAGGGAGGCAGAAATTATGGAGGGGTCAGGGCTGTGTGTTTTGGCCAAGGGATGCTGCAGTCACAAGAAGGCACTAGAAGAAATCTCACTCCTGAGCCAACAGGCACACGAGCTCCTCCGGACAGGGCTGAGGAGGGAAGCCCAGCCTGGCCCACCACTCTTTCATCAGGCCAGTGACCAAAAAGCCCCACCAGACACGCAGGTTTACCCATCAACTGGGCAACAACCACAAAATGTTACCAGCCCTGGAACAAACCAGGGCGCCTCAGCGGGAAGGTGATGGCCTGCTTCCATTTGTGGGCCCCGGCAAATGCGCTGGACAGACAGGGACAGAGTCCTTCCAGGCAAGATAACTAACATCTAAGAGGCGGGCTGAGGGCTCAGAGAAAAAGGACAGGAGATGGGCACGCAAGTAGACAGGACAATGGACAAAACCTGCGACTAGCCCACGAGGAAGCTCCCACGCGGAAGCTCCCACGCTTCCTCGTGGGACACCAGCTAAGTTCTTCCTTGGCCTCCTGAAGCACTCTACCTTCACCTAGGCCACACGCTCCCCCGACTTCCTATGACACGCTCCCGGCTGGACAGTCCTGGCCATCTAACAGTAGCCAGCTTCTAACTCAAGAGCACCTTTTGGTTATAACCAGACTTGGGCCAGGAAGAGTGGTGCACGCCTGTAATCCCAGCACTAGGGAGGCTGAGGCAGGAAGATCACTGCGAGTTCGAGACCGGCCTGGGCTACAACGTGAGTTCAAGGCCAGCCTGGACCGCACAGCGAGATTTACTGACCGTATCTGTGCACCGAGGTCCTTACCAAATCCTCCTGAAAATCCTTTTTTCACTGATTTCCTAACCCAAGAGGTATTTTTTGAGCGCTCACTACGGGAGAGACCGACTCACTGAGTTCACTGAGCCGAGGCGGGCACAATCCGGCCGCGTACCACGGTCCCGCGCGGCAGGCCGAAGCGGGCCGGGCCGGGCCGGGGCCTCCGGGG